TTTTTTTTTTTCTCTTTCTTCTTCTTCTTCTTCTTCTTCTTCTTCTTCTTCTTCTTCCTCCTACTGCGCACCCTGCAGAGGCGCGCGCCGCGCGAGCACGCGGGACAGCGGCCCCGCGCTGCCCAGCGGTCGCCGCACGGCTGTCGCCATCGCCGCGCGCGTCTTCAAGAAGCGCGCCACGTTTTTAGTGCCCGGCCACGGCCAAACTCGGCCGAACACGGCCGGGCACGGCGGAACGCGGCCGAACGCGGCCGACGGCGGTCGAGCGGAGCTACCGGCCTCGATTGCACGCTGCTGGGCAGCCGGCCGGGGTGCTACTGGACCGTGGCCTGGCGCGACATTGAGGGGACATGGCGGCAGGAGCGGCGGGGATGTCTGGGTGCAGCGACATCGAGGGGACGCAACATCGACGGTGCGGCACGGTCACACGACATCCAAGATCAAGCCCTTGACTTGTTGGATCCTAGTGGGGGGGCGATGACGGGGGGTGCAGGGAGCAGCGGTGCGGGGGGGTCTGGGGGTGCCCAATTCAACCCGCTGCCCGAGAAGGGAAGGCAAAGTTGAGGCGAGGGAACATTGTTTGGAACTTCGTCACCACGGGCCAGTACCTCGGGGACCTGTCCAAGATGCACGGGGACCGAAAGTTGCGTTGCAACTTATGCGGCCACCTTTTTCAGGGGGGTGTCGTCGAAGGCCGCGCGTCATTTTACGCAGTCGAAGTTCTGCAAGGTTGGGATGATGAGAGTTCTCGCGGAACTCTGGAACGGCACGGACTACACATTTGTGCCATCCACTGAGGTGGATGGCAGACGAGGGCATACGGGACACGAGAGTGCCCGCAGGTGGCCTGAGACAGCGGATAGACGTCGCAGAGAGGGATGACATTCTGGACACCCTCGATGAGGAGGAGGGACACGAGGGTGGGGCAGGGAGGGGGCGGTTGCAGACGAGGCAGACGAGGCAGTCAGAGAGCCTAACCTGCCAAGGGAGGAGGTGGTGATGACGTCGAGAGGCATCGGTGGAGCAGGTCCTGCTACTAGGGTGCCGCGAGCTGAGGTGGAGCGCGCGAGGAGGGAGAAGAGGACAGTGGGGCAGGCTGGTGTCGAGGTGCCAGACACGGGCAGGGAGAAGAGGGCTCGACAGACCACGATTGACGAGATGTATGCGAGGGAGAAGTTGGCCGAGTTCACAGACGCGTGGCTTAAGTGGATCTAAGTGAAGAAGTTGCCATTCAATGCCTTTCGTGGTCCGGAGTTCCAGAGGGTGCGGCAGGCAGCAGAGAGAGTGCCTCGCTCTATCCAGTTCCGGTTTCCCTCCTACAAGGTTACAGCGGGCGCCGGTATCCCTTTGCTGAGGGCGAAGGTGGCGACGATGAAGAGCGAGGTGTGCGCCACTTTCCGGCACAGCGGTGCCACTATCCTTTCTGACGGGAGGAAGTCGCGCAATGGCAAGCCGCTCGTGAACTTCCTCGCCTGGGGCGCCAACGGCGCCCTGCTGTACGCCACCATCTCACGTGACGGGTCCGTCCGAGACACAGCGGACGTCGTGTACCGTAGGTGGCGGGCCATAATCTTGTCCTTTCCTGCAAAGGATGTGATCGGCTTTTGCACAGACTTCGCCAGTAACTATACGGCGGCACCTCGTAGGTTCGCCACAGACCCCAAGCCTGAGATCAGGAGGATCACTTGGCTCCTCTGCTCCACCCATGTCTGCAACTTGATGTTGTCAGATATCGGGACGCGAGTGGTGTGGGTCAAGGAGACCATCATCCGCGCTCGAGCGCTTGTGCGATTTTTTAAATCGCATGGCGTTGCTCTCACCCTTTTTAGGAAGGTGAGCCCTCGCGTTCAGCTCGTCGAGCCCATTGAGACACGGTTTGCATCAGTTTTCCTGATGCTGACGTGTCTCAAAGGCCGACGGGACACGTTGGATAGCACGTTGCACGGGGATGCTTGGGCACGCATCCCGTGGGATCGCGCCCACGTATTTCAGGCGCAGTGGGTGCAGCAGCAGATCCGGGACGGGGAGTTTTGGCAGCGTGTCCATTACTCCATCCTAGTCATGTCGCCTGTCCACCAGCTGCTGCGCAGGACGGATAGAGGTGGGATGATGATGTCCGTCGCTTACGAGTGGAGTCAGCATCTGCTGCAGTTGATGAGCACGGTCGACGTGCCGACGGACATGATCGAGCCGTGCGTGCGTGAGGTTGCCATCCGCAACCTCCACATGTTAGAGCCCGCACATGCCGCAGCCCACCTCCTCAACCCTCGCCGACGGTCCCTCACGTATTACCATTCGCTGGAGACGACTGTCGACGACCGCCGTGTGGTCGAGCAGTGCGACAGATTTCTCCTGGCGCAGACCGGCGGCGATCCGTTCGGCTTATTGTACAGGACCGTGAGGGACCCGATGAGGGCGTTCCACTCGAGGCGAGGGGATTGGGGAGATCGTGACCTCTCCGATGCCGAGGCGGCCGATTGCAGGGGGGACAGTGAGACTGAGCGATGTGCAGCGTGGTGGTTTGAGCATGGACGTGCCCACCCGGAGTTGCGCACCATTGCCATCTGTGACATGCACTTGTGGACGTATGCCTCCGCAGCGGAGAGGAACTGGGCGGAGCACGAGCGCGTCAGCACGGCGAGGCGCTGCAAGCTTGGGTTCGCCAAGCTTGCACAGCTGGTTGAGATGGCCACCAATCTCAAACTCGCCTCGTGCGCACGGCAGGGTGGTGGCTACGTGTTGCCATGGGTTATGGGGACCGGTCGGGGGGGGACGGCGGCAGAGGAGGAGGATGAGAAGGAAGATGTGGAACCTGAGGTGTTGTGAGCGCGACCTGATGGCAGTGTTCTCGAGCAGGAGATCCAGCGGCAGATTGTCGCTTTCCATGACAGCCGACCGTCCAGAGCCCGTTCGGTTCGGGACGTGTTCGGCAGCAGAGCGACGGAGCTGCGACCGTGGTCGGAGGGTGGGGATGATGTGGACGCTGCTGCGGCAGGCGACGACATCGACCACGACTGGACTGACGATGATGACATGCCGCTGAGCCGCGGCCCGACGGCTGAGCGAGTGTACTTCACTTACGGTGGGGGTCGTGACGACATGGATTCACACACATCGGTTATCAGGGGTGGTGTGTCGTCGACCGCGCAGGTGAGTGGCAGCAGCACAACCGGCGGTGGTCTTGGAGGACGTTCGCATGCGGAGGTTCGCATGCGGAGGTTCGCATGGACGACTCGGGGGAGCAGCAGCCACGTGGAGGTCTTCGCCACACAGGCAGGCGTTGGGAGGTTAGGAGGGACAGCGAGGCGGAGGGGGAGGCCGAGGATGAGGAGGTGCCCCTTCACGATCGTCGCTTCTCTCCCTCCCATCATCCAATCTCTGCACAGCTCGAGGCACTTAGGCGTTCGGAGAGGTTGGCGTCGGCAGCGGGCAGAGACCGGACACATGACTGCATGCTTGGTATGTCACGAGCGGAGACGAGGAGGACATTGGTCCTCGAGGCCGAAGGGACATCCACGGACAGGCTGCGGGGAGAGCAGTTCACATCGGGCGAGGAGGGGTTGTCGATGCGTCCCGGGACGAGACGACAGCATGGCCTCTCGGAGATTGAGGCTCGACTTGCTGCAGGGGTCGCCGCTGGGCAGGCAACATTGGACGCGATTGAGAGGGAGAGAGAGAGGGGGATTGCTGCACAGGCGGAGGAGGACGAGGACGCAGATACTGAGTCTGAGCCGATCGAGACTGTGGCACGCAGACACAGGGCACAGGTGGCCGCGGCGGCCACTACGGCACATGCAGCATACGTCAACGGGGCACGGGGCACAGGTGCCAGAGGGAGAGGAGGGCGCCGGGGAGGACCGCATGGCCGCATGTCCTCCGGGAGAGGCCGCGCGCGCTCTGGTGGGAGACTACGACGTCCGTGGTGTTTTTTGCTACTCGGTTGTACAGTAGAGATGACGCCCATCGATGGGTCCAGTTTTTGTTTTCTTTTCTATTGTGTAACAGAGATGATGGGTGCAGTTTTTTTTTCCTACTCGGTTGTACATTAGGGTTTTCAATTTTTTTTTTCGTACTCGGTTTTCATTAAAGACGATATGGACATTAGGGTTTTCATTTTTTTTTTCCCTACTCGGTTGTACAGTAGAGACGACGCCCATCGACGGGTCCTGTTTTTTTTTGCTACTCTGTTGTGTAGCAGAGACGATGGGTTCAGTTTTTTTTTGCTACTCGGTTGTACAGTAGAGACTACGGGTCCAGTTTTTGAGTTCAGCCTTGTACATAAGCATTTCCATTTAAATGCTTTGTCATATATTTGCTATTGTTCTTGTTCCTCCGCCAACATTGGTCTTGCATCTGAGTCGCTGCTGTCTGGAGATTGTTTTCTGCTCTGTTGTCGTGATTGTTGCAAATTATGTGCTTCTCCAATGCCACGCACGTGCATGTCATGGATGCCTCCATTATGAAGGTGCAGTTAATTTCAGATGCGACATAGAGATGACGTGCTAATGAATGTTTTCTTACATAAATGATGTGCTAATGAATGTCCATCAGTCTCCTGAGTGAACACACACTATGACACACTTGCCTGTTATCATTGTTTGAAACTTGTGGTTCGCCGCACTGTGATTCATTTTCAATGTGTTTTGACATTGGTATGCCAAACAGGGTCCGACTTATGATTGCCAAATTTGCCATGAATGTGTTGTTTTCAAATAAGCCACGAACTGTTATCGGCCTCATTAATGAGACCGACGCCTACCTTTCAGTGCGTGAGGCCCGCCCCAACCAGGCCCAACCTGGGGTCTGCCATCTGCAGCCCCATCTAGCTTCGACCCGGTCTGGCCGCACGGCCCGCCTTAACCAGGCCCTCATCCAACCCACGTTGGGCCGCCATTTCAGGGGTCAATTTTTTTTATTATTTTTTTTTTCGCTGTTCCAGACCCTCCTCCCTGCGACCCTGCATCGACGAACCTGCACATTGGGGCTGCTGGATTTTTCGTGGGCCACCCTTCCAGAGTCTTGTGCAGGACCCCCCCGTTTTGTTTTTTTTTTACACCCTTTCACTTTGAGGGGGTGGCCCCCCACCCCCCCACCCCAAACCCGCTCCCAGCTTCGAAAACGGCCCCCTAGATCGGCCGACACCGAGGCCGAAAAAACTCGGTTGGGCCGGCCGCAGCCAGGGGGGTCCCGGCCTAGGCCGTCGGCCGCGGCCAGCGTGCAACATAGCTTGCCCCTTTTCCCCTACCACTCGTATTCCTCAGACCCTGAACGTTCCACGTGACTATCTGCAACCTACTCATTGATTGGAGTTGCGGATTTTGCAGATTGGATGCCTGCGGAGGACGGATTCGAGCTTCGGGCTTTGTCTGAGCCCCCGTTCGACGCTCGTGAGACCCATTCTGCTGAGAGGCAGTCTAAGAAGGAGGCGGAGAGCAGGTTGCTCGATCTCGGCATGATCAGATTTAAATCTGCCAAAAAGGAAGCCGAGATCCCCAGCTCAACGATTACCTCCTCCAGGAGGTCAATCGAGGGCTGGGTCATAGCTTCCAGCGGGAAAGTGTCCAGTCCAACATTCCTCAAACCCTGCCACGCTTCCATGGATAACCTGGCGTCAATAAAGACTATTGTATATTTAACAAATTTTCCATCCTCTAGCTCCACTCTCATTTGAGGCAGGTAGAATTCCGGAAAGATCCTGAACTCAAAGCGATCAGCGAATAAATACTTGACTTTCTCCCGTATCGGAGATTGCAACGGTATCTCCGACAACCTCGTTGTTGGGAGGACAAGATTCCCTTTCCGGTCCAATAGACTTACCACGTGTACCGCTTGATCCTGTAAGGTACAAACGAACGGCAACATGACTTGTTCTTCAAACTGGCGTGCATCCCTGCCTCCTGTTTCGACACCCTCCGGAATTACTCCGGGGGAGTCTTCCATGTTTGAGTGTGCACGGTGTCAGGCGGCCACAAGTAGTGCGCTGCCTGAAAACGGCAGTTTAGGGGTTTAGGCTCAGGGTTAAGTCCGCGTTTTGACAGTGCTTTGGGATGACCAGGCAGCAGGAATTATGAGAACTCAGGGTACCCCTGATTCTGGACGCACTAGATTTTAAGAATAACCCCCAAAGACAGCGAGATGGATGGGTGCACTGAGCACAACTAGGGACCGTCATTTCTGGTCGCTCAGAGGACTGGGACCGTTTTGGCTGGCCGCGGAGAGGGATCGCGGAAACAGACCTCGCCGYGGCATTTTGACGGCATACAACCGGGGCCGAAATGAGGCCTCGGAATTTTGTCTATTCTGATATCATAATTAAAAATAAAAGAAAAAGATTAAGACCAGAAGAGGAGCGGAGAAAAACGCAATATTCTTTATTTTCTTTATTTTTTACTACATTTAATTTTAGGGGGAATTCCCTTGTTATTTTAGGTTTTCAGCAATGAAAT